AAAAAAAAAATCTAAAAAGAAAGTACATTGTGGGAAGGGCATTGAGAAGGCCATGATTTAGGGGCTGAGGAGATAGCTAAGCGCTCTAAGAGGCTGCCTGGCAAGTGCAAGGACCCAGATTTGATGCCCGGCACCACATCCTGCACTGGCACTGCCCCCAGGCATGCTGAGCCAGCTGTGAAATCCAGGAATGGTGGCACACACCAGAAATCCCAGTACTGGGGAGGCTGCGATGAGGATCACTATAAGCCAAGCTTTATGACAAGACCCGGTACCAAATAAATAAATTAATAAAATGTATTTTTAATTTTTTTTAAAAGGCCACAATTTAGAAAGAGTTTTCTTTTCATTATGGAATTTAAAAACATGCCTATGAAAATTTCACAAAACATATACTTGATGATTCCAGTTATATGAAGTTCAAACATAAACGAGACCTATTTATAGAGACGGAGAGCAAAACCCCTGTCTCGTTGGTAGTGCAGGCACTGCCCTGGGGAAGCGGTGTGCTCTCTGGCTAGTGGAAGCGGCGCATCCTGACGCAGGGAACGGCCTCATGGATGTGCACAAGCGGAACAGTTTATCAAGACTTACGCTTCCCAGGAGCACGAATGGTGGAACTCAAGGAAAAGAAAAGAACCTCCATATTTACAGTATTTTCCTTCTACAATTGGGTAGTATGTATGAATCTCAATTTTGTCCATTTTTCTGACTTTCAGAAATATTGAGAGCAAAGGGCCGGCCAAATAGCTCAGCGGATTAAAGCGACTGCAAGCAAGCGTAGGGGCTGGGGTTCGATCCCTGGGCCTGCCGTGCAGGCCCCACCCCTGGGGAGGGCATTGAGATGGCGATTGAGACTGGGCGTGGTGGCACACCCCTACAATTCCAGCTCTTGGGAGGCTGTAAACAGGAGAATCGCTAGGAGTCCGATCTAGTAGTGAGACCCTGAACACCCTGTAGAACCTCCCCTAAAATACAAAAAAAGGAAAGAAATAGTGACAGCAAGCATCATGGCTGCTAGTATGAATAATATGCCTAAGTGTCCAGAAGTGCAGAATAATCTGCTTGACCAGCGGCGCTCACCACCTCCATCATACTGGTTCTGCAGGGGTCTCGCTTGGTGACATCAACCTAGATCCAGCTTCCATGGGGAAAATGACCCAGAGCAGTTGTGAGTTTTGCCTCAGGACGCAGAGCATGAAGAACCAGAGCTTTGGTCACAGGATCCAACAACCATCAACATGTACTGCACATGTGTCGTGTGCAGGGCGCGGAGGGAGGATGTTCCTCTGGAGATAAAATAACCGGGGTCCTGCCTCAAGAGCAGGAAGTCCTCGTATACGAATGAGGACGCACGGTCTCAGTACTGACAGCCACTCGTCTCGATGCCACTGTATGAGGCAGTACATGGAAGGGCTTAGCACAGTCTGTGCGGGGTAGGTAGAAGCCGTGATCTGCAGCCAGCTTCCACGAACCTGTGCCTTTCCAACTTTGGGTTCCGTGATGCGCCTTTGGACACCTCGACTTCCGACGTGGCAGGAGCGTGTACGCGGTGGGAAATGAATGACAAACCCTACAAACGAGGGTTCATTGCAGTGTGAGGGGAGGTTGGGGGGTTCTTCAAACATCTACCAGAGCAAGCCTGGAGCGCGATCTGCCCGCATCTTGCCACTGCTAGCGTCATTCCACCTTCCCGGGAGCTGCATGGCTGAAGTACACTGATGGGCTCGGCTCACGCAAGCCTTCTCCAGCTCCTCTTCAGCACGCGGCTCCCATCTCTGAAATTTTATTTCCTCCACCAGAAACATGAGTAACCTACTGCTCATCTAGTTTACAGGGGTGTCTGACGGGTGTGTGTGTGTGTGTGTGTGTGTGCACGCGAGCGTGCGCGTGGTGGGGGTGGATGGGAAGCCCCTGGCCCAGGGCCTAATCACAGCAAGCATGTCCTTCGTCAGTTCTGGCCTCTCACTCTCTTACGCTGGGGCAAAGGTGTCAGGAATGGGAGCTGGGCCTCTGTGGTGCACGGCGGTCCCTTAGGAGGCCGAGCGGTTAGTCTTGGCCTCCTCGGGGCCGGAAACGCCAGACTGCAGCTCTATTTGTGCAGCTCGGCACTGAGGGCAAGGGTGCAGCACGGGCCAGCTTCTCTGGCTTCTTCCTGGAAATCATCAATCTGTGCCCTTGCCCTCCTCCCTTTTTCTACATTTTTTTTCCTCCTGGATAATGAGGCCTCCAGAGACCGGTGGAGGTCTGAACCTCGTTATGGCTCTCTCCGTAGGCCGGCATCAATAAAGGCGGGCAGACCAGGGAGCTGGGTGGGGGCTGGGGCGGGCAGGCAGCGGGTGGGCGACTGGGGGGTGGGGTGGGCGGAGTGCAGGCTTTCAGATCCTTGGATTTACTTCATAGTGAATTATAACCGATCGCTTTAGTGCCCAGGGGCTCGCAGAGGGGAGGGTGGGAATTCACTGAGAGGCCAGAGAAGCCTAAAGTGGGAGCTCAGCCAGGCCAAGAGGACCTGACTCTGGGGTGACAGGGAAGGCGGAGTGGTTGCAGAGGGGCGGGAGAGGCTGCCGGTCTGAGTCCTGACTGGTAGGTGACTGGCAGGTCTGCCTCTCCTGTGTCTGCGAGCCTTTCTCTATCTGCATCCAGGGGCCTGGACTTCATGACCTCCAGCTGCCTTGAGAGTCTGACATCCACAGTCTGTGCCCACCGCTGGGTGTGCTGCACACCTGTGCATACCAGGGCATTCTCCCTCCATGGGACAAGAGGGTTGGATTCTCACTTAGCAGTGGGGGAAGGCACTTGGAGGTGGGGGAAACAGAAAAATGAGCCCAAGCCTGGGGAAGCGGGCTGTCCAGTGGTTGTGCTGAGAGAGAGTGAGGGTCAGAGGATGGAGAGGGAGGGGAAGAGCACACAGGGAGGAAGCAGGCCAGGGGGACAAGGTATGCTGGGGAGGAGGGAGAAAGGGAGAAGGCAGAGGCAGAATAAAGAGAAATGAGGCTGGAGAGATAGTGATAAAGACAGGAAAGATCAGTAGAAGAAGAGAAAAAGGAGAAAGAGCAGAGGGCTCATGAAGGCTGGGGCTATAGGAAGAGCCGGGGCCTGGTCAGGGCCGCACACAGAGAGTGCTGAGCAAGCCCTCTAAGCCATGCCCTCAGCCCCTCTGGGAAACAGCACACCACATATCGGGTTCTGTCCGGCTATCAGAGAGCCATCTCCAGCAGGCTGGCAGACAGCCGCCCCCTGTGCAGAAAGACTGGAGAAGAGCGATCCAGCAGAGCAGTACCTGTGGCCACCACTGCCACCTCCTTCCCTGCCTCTCCAAGGTGAGGAGCCACAGCCCAGAGTCACCATGAGACCTGAGAACGTGCTGCCTTGGAGGACAAGGGTGGGAGCTGCATCCACTCAGGGGGCCCCAACTGTTCAAGTGACACAAGGCTAAGTGGAAGCGGCCAAACTCATAATCAAATCATCACTGTCAAAGAGTTGGTGGCGGGCCCTATCACTAGGCCATCTGCACACCCAGGAAGGCCCAGCATCTATGCTTGAGTACGGCTTTGAGCCCTTCCTCCAGGCCTATCTATAGTTCTGAGGGCCAAGCATGACCCCTCCCTCTGACCACTGTTGCAATTTTAAATGTCACTTGTAGGCAGAGTACCAGCCACAGGAATGCAGCAAGCACCGTATAAACAATAGGTGTGTCTTGTATTCTGCACACCATGTGGTCACTGCTTTCCACCACTCAGGGAAAGTGTGAGAAAGAAACCAGAGGTGGAGACTGCTGCTGCGTATCTAGATGGAAGGCACCCGAGAAGCTAACGCCCACTATCCCTAAGAGTGTGGACCTGACAGTCATTGAGACACTGGGCTGCACTCCACTCCTCACTCCCCAACTAAGTCCTCTTGGTGCCTCAGTTTCCTGGCCTGTGAACCAAGGCCATGAGGACCCTTTTGAGCAGGCTAGCATCAGCACTCAGGAGCACAGTACATGAAGTGCCCACAGCGCAGGTCCTCATGCGACGTGCTAATGAAGATGTGATGATGGAATGAAACTGGTGCAGGGCTGACCCTGGGCTCAGCCGGGGTATTTCCCACTGCCTTGGCCCCAGCGCACGGCCCTGGTCACTCACCTGCACTCGTGTTGGGTTGAGCCAGTGAGGGATGTCACGCGCAGTCACGTTTATTGGCAGAATGATGGACTCGCTGTTGTGGTCCAGGCACGAGGTGGCGCACTCTGACCCTGAGAGGAAGCACAGTGCAGGTTCATGTCGCGGGCCACCTCTGATGCTACAAGCTCACCTCCTTTCTGTTACTCGCTTGCCTGTGCTATCCGCAGGCCAGTGGAAGGGGTGAGCTCCCTTGGCCCTGGCTTGCCTGCCTGCATTGCTTGTCTGCAGGTGGGCTGGGAGCCACCGCCACCCCATTGGCCCTGCGTCCAGTTTAATCAGGTTTCTGCTGGCTCAAAAACCTGGCAACACTCTGTATCCAGGACCAAGCCCATTCCCTCTGGCAAGTTTGTGGAGCTTTCTGTGGTGTGGTCGATCAACCTCTCTCAACTAACTCTGCCCCCAAGTTGGTCCTCTGTGAGTAAAGGACCCTTGGCTGTCCAGAAGTCCTGTGCTTCCCCACCCCTGTGCCTCTGTTCCTGTTCACCTCAGCTCCTGAAACCTCCACCTGTCTCCCCCTGACCAAATCCTACTAGTCCTTCAAGCCCCGGTGCAACTGCACGAGGTGTTGGCCTACATCTCGGCAGCTGCCTGGGAGCACTCCCTCTCCTAATGCGGGCTACATGGGGTGTCCCGCTCCTCTGTCTTTGGTCACTGATGAGTCTTATACCAGTGGTGTTCTCCCACTTCCTGCTTCCTCAGCATGGTTAGTGTTATGCTACCAGGGCATGGATATTGGCGGTTCATGTAAGTCTAGCCCAGGGCCTGACACCCAGGGAGAGCTCAGTGAGCTCAGCCTGAGGGACCGATGTTGACATAACTATAATACCAGCTTCCTTCTTCTTTGTCCCCAAGTTTCTCTTTCCTTTGAGCTTTTATCCCTGTCCACTCTTATGCCTCTCCAATCCTCCTATAGCCCATTACTGGGCACCTGCCATGTCTTAGACCATCTGCCAGAGAGGGCCAGTCCTTACAGGTACCCATCAAAGTACCTGTGACATGGCCATTTCCTGTTTGTTGAGCAACTACCGCACCTATAGCACTCTCCCTTTCTGGACTGTAATGTGTGGGTCCAGCACTGTCTTGATCTTTTGTCTAAGCCTAACACCATGCATGGCAAGGGAGAGACATTTAAAAGGTGAAATCAGTGAGAGGAGGCAAGGTGTGAAGGAGTGCCTCAGGGTCTGAGGAAATGAGAGGATGAATGGATGGAGGGCGGATAGCAAACAGCATTCAGGGCCTTCTAAGGGAGGACGTGGGTATGCAGCAGGGCACCTGAATGGGCCACAGATAGATGCAATGGCTGAAGGAATGAGAAATGAATTAGGTGCTGAGTGAAGGAAGGGCTGAAGAAGAACAAGGTGGGGCTTGCACACAGACGGCCCGGAACTTCTGAGAGAAGATGGTTGGCTCTCGGCTGTAGGACACGAGGTGCTGTAACTTGGTTTGTTCGTTCTCCACCATGACTCCCTTTTGCGAGATGTTCTAGAATGAAAGCCCACCCTACCGGAGGTCCGCTAAGCTCCAAAGAGGGCCCCATCCATGTGGGTAAAACACCACTCTGTCAGAATCTGACCAGGCCCCGAGGAGATCATTCCTCTGTCACAGAGCAAAGCTGCCTCTGAGCAACGGTGTTTAGAAAGCAAGCCAGCTCTTTTCTTTAAATAGCCTATGCCTCAGCTATTCTAAATACCCCCTGTGGATATACTCCTGATGTGTGTCCGTAGGCACACACACATTATACACACACCATGATCTAAAGAGTCACTTCACGGTCACATGTTTTCAAATTAAATACAGTGAAAAAAAAAAAACTCCGTCGTTAGTCCTCCACAGCATACTTTGTCTCCTTTGAACGCACTTATCCCATTGTTCTTGCTATTTAACAGCAGTTCTGGAAGTCTTTCTTCACATACATACATGAACATAAGCCTGCATGGGTATGTAGTCTACCCAGAGCCCTTTCTGTTGCCGTATTAACGTCCTCTTCAGTCTAAGAGATGTGCGAGGTCTAATGAAGGGATAAACCTGGGGTGACCAGTCCTGGACAATGCTTGGAAAACCCGCACTTGAAAGACTGGAACAGGGAGCTCCAGATAGGGGCTACCTCTGGCCTTGTTGGGTGATTTTCCTGGGTCAGTCCAGGTTCCTGAAAATGCAGCCCTGTGAGGTGGGTGTCACTGCACATACTTCCTAGGCCACTCCGCCAAGTGACCCAGAGCTCAAGACCACAAAATGGGAGCAAGGAGCCGTGGCTTAACACTACAACTCATCCTGTCATCCAGGCCTGGCCATGGATAGGGGTGTTGTACAGAGAGAGGAGGGAGGAGGCAGCAGTAGAAGGCACAAAGGAGGGAAGAGAAAGGGAAGAAAAGTGAGAAGACAGAAAGAATGAGCGGTGAGCGCTTTCCGGAGCAGGCAGAGACACTAGCTGGTGTATGTTTTATCACCAGATCAGTCCTAAAGGAGAGGTTGAGGGTCCAAAGGTAAGACAAGCTGTGAAGACAAAATTATTATGGAAAATAAGTGACTCAGTCTCTGAACAATAGTCAGAGGCTCTCTTAGCCTGTATGCAAGGCATGAAAGGGACATATGTGGTCAAGGCAGGAGGCACTGGCTGGCTTTCTTCGGCAGAGGCGCTCCCTCTCTCGCCTCCCACGGGGCTCCCCTCCCCCACACCTGGGCTCTGGGCCTCAGGACCAGGCTGCTGTGTTGTGATATACGAGCCATAATTGGCATCATTACAGAGTGGTGATCTCACCAGGCCCCTGCCTCTCCTTCCCCAGAGGTGTGGGGAGCGTGTCAGCCAGTGGCAACAACTGCGACCTTCCACAGGTTCCTCATGGCCACACAAGCTTGCTGGGCTGCATGGGGAGGAACCAGAGAGATGTGCCCACAAGCCCCTGGCCTAGCAGGCCCCTCCCCTGCACACACCTACCCCACTTGCAAAGCTTCAGGTCACTCTGCTCTCCAAGGTGAAGCTCCCAGGGAAAGGCTTAGCCTGGGAGTCCACTCTTTGCAGTGAGCCAAGGAGTGTGTGTGTGTGTGTGTGTGTGTGTGTGTGTGTGTGCAAGCACACATGCATGTTCATGTGCAGGATCTACAATCCCTCTCCATTTCTTTGTCTCCTTCATTTTTCTTTTCCTCACTCTGCCATTCCCACACAGTTTCCCATCACCTCCCATGGGCCATCCAGGTGACCCTGAGAATGTGAAATTCTGGGGAACAGAGAGAGAGCCAGGTTCCCCTAACATACAGATTTCCTTCCTTTTCTGTTGTAACCTTAAAAAAAAACAAGGATTAAAGGAACTTGGCCCTGATGCACAGCCCTTCCACTATCTCTACACTGTTCTGAGTTAGACTAGAGGGCCAAGTATTGGAACTCATCTGTATGTGTTGTGACAGCTGAAAGCAATAGCTGCATTTGTGGAAATGTGCACAGGTGCTTGGTCTACCTCTGGGTATCTTTCTGGGTGTGTTTAATATATTTTGGGGTATGTACTTGTGTTCCTGAGGTCTATGTACTCATACGGGCTGTGTGTGTGTGTGTGTGTGTGTGTGTGTGTGTGTGTGTGTGTCCTTATGCCTTGCTTAGGTTTCTGTGCTCCTTATGTGAGTACCGGTGGGGGTGGTGATGCCTCTGTATGGTAGGTATTTGGTTGACACATAGGATCTAAGCATGACCTTACTATGTGATGTATGTGTTTAATGCTCTCTGGTTATGCAACATTTCTCCATCTGATATACGTTTCTTAACACATGGGTGTGTGTGTGTGTGTGTGTGTGTGTGTGTGTGTGTGTGTGTATGGACAGATAGCGAATTTGTACCTCTTTTTTACATAAAGGTTACTTAATCAGCATTTTTCTCTCAGCACTGCTCTATGCCAGTCCTGAGTGTATCTGAATCTTCCCTGGGTCTTCTGATTGAGTTGGGAATGGGGACCCCATCACAGATGTGTGTGCCAGAGTTGGGCACACCTGTCATGAATGACAGTGATAAGAAACTCTTGGCTTTGGGATGGGTCCACCAGTGTTACCCTGGAAATCCCTGTTGCCCCAAACTTGTGGAATATCTGTCTTAGTGGGCCTCTTCACAACCTGCCTCTTCAGGGTTATCTGAGTTGGTAGTTCTAAGATCTCATGGTTCCTTTTAATCAGAAGAGAGAGAAAGAACCCCAGACTTAATGCAGCAGTCTTACTTCCTACTCTAAGTCCAGGTGAAGGTCACATGCTACATAATTGTCTGCATGTCCATCTTCAAACAGAGATGCTCAGTCCCCAAGCGTCTCTGCCCTCCCAGTCCAGGACTGCTGCTAGACCTGTAGTGGCAACATGTGGTATGCCAAGGAAGGAACATGTTGGCTCTGTGCACACTCAGACAACCTGCACCAGACAGCCCTAGCAATTACTCATAAATCTCACTGGCCATGAGAAGGGACATTCAATTCCTCAGGCTTTTCATCATGGTCAATTAAGGAATCAGTTTGAGGGGTCAGCGACACCACCCTTAACTGAGGTTGGGCCCCGTGCACTCTGCACTCTCCAGAAAGCCTTGCGGCAGATGATTCATGCATCTCCTGTTAGATGCCTGGCTTAACCCAGGTGGATAACTGGCATCAGATCCCAGGTTGTTGCTCTTCACTATGTGCATTTTTTGAACTGACCTATCACTGCACAAGCAGTATTTTAAAAATGCAATTTGTCCTCCTCTGAAGGGAGCTGAGAGGTCACGAAGAGGAGCCAGGCTATGGAATAGGAGAGTGCTCAGGAGGGGCTGGTGCATGCTCCATAGTCCCTACTGAGATTCAGCTGCCTCATGTGCTAAAGGTTCCTGACGGGAGAGAAAGTGATGTCCTTCATGTGTTTGTTGCAAGTCTGATTCATAGATGGTACCCGGAAATGCTTCGCATGATGCAAATTTTACAATTAATAACAGGACCAGCAAGATTGGATCTTTATGGCTTCCCTAAAGAAGAAGTACACATTCACATCTCCTGCCTCTTAGCTACATGGGTTCTTCTCCGAGAGGGCATGATGGCTGGCAAGCTCTTTGAAGTCACTGGGAAAGCATCCTTTCTTCCTTTCAGCACCACCTGTCCCTCCCCGTCCCCCAGCCTCTGCCAGCTCTTCTATGCTCATAGCTGTGCTGGTGTCCCATGTATGACTCCCTCTCTGAGAAGCCAGGCTGTAACCTTGCTCCTCTGTTTCCCTTCTGCCTGTTCAGAGCCTCACACAAAGGCACTCGGTGCCCCATCCGAGCGGCAGCCTTGAGCGATCGGAAGGAAGTGAACTTCCGGTTGCCCCACACAGCCCCGCCTACCTATAGCATAGCCTTCCGGGCACTGTAGTTTAAGGTTGCTGTTGAGCTGGTTTGGAGCTGAGCAGTGGCCTTGCATCTCCTGGCAGACGTGGAAGGAGCCACTCCAGGTGCCATCTTTCCGGCAATGGATGATGTTGCTTCCTCGTCCCTGAAAATCACAGAAATGCAGTGAAGACAAAGACTGCCCACAGCAAATCCTCTCAGAGGAAGGAAAAATCAGTTTCTCATATTCCCACAGCTCAGAAAAGGGTTCTAAAACGATTGCTTAACAAGGGTTGACAGTCATCCTTAGAAAGATGTCCTTAGTATCTCCATTTGACAGAGGGGAAAGCTAAGGATGCAGAATTTTAAAAAAGTATGTCGCTGGCTTTGTAGACAGCCTATCTCCTGGGTTTCCTGAATCTTAGCTCAGTGAACTTTCAGGAAATTACAATTAGAGAAAGCGTACCTTGGATTTGCATCCTCTATTAGTGTTGCTGCCCATCAGCAATGCAGTTGTCTATGTATACACATGGTACAAGTGTGTGTTCTGGGGCTGTTCATGAAGACACAGGCACACAGCTTGTTTCCTTTTAGTCCATGAGAAAGCATCTTGTGTCAGGGCTGTGCCTGGCACTAACTAGGTAACTTGGGCCCAGATGTGAAGCTCTCTCTTCTAAGGGGTTCCCTTGCCTCCCCTCCCCTCCCTTCTACTCTTCTCCCTTCCCGTCCTTTTCCCTCCCCTTCCCTCCCCTCCCCTCTCCTCTGCTCTCCTCTTTCCTTGCTTCATTAATGGCTCCAAGAGCATGGTATGGGAGTTCTCCTCTCTGTGTGCCCCATAGTTCTTTAACATATACTTTGTATTATTTTTCAGTCTTCTGCAAAGTATTAGGCAACTGCAGCTTGAAGATGCACCCCTTTTATCAACCCTTCCTAATCTCCAAGATCCCAGTGGGAGGTCCTTCCCTCTTTTAGAGCTTCCATTGAATTTAAGAACTCTTCCTTAGTGCGCCTTCTGTGCCCACATGTGGGGCACAAGGGGCCAGCACCTGGCCCAGTCAGGTGGCAGGAAAGGCAGGCATAGTTTCTGCCACCCCCATCACACACTGGTGCTCAGTGGTGCCAGGCCAAGGTGTGCCAGTGCTGTGAGTCTTTGGGAGGGACCAATGGTTGTGAAGGCTCAACCTGGGAAGGCCTCTTAGCGGAAGTGAAACTTGGAAAAACAGCTTTTAAGAGCTGGGAGATGCTACAACTCTTGTTGCATAGGTCCTGCTTTACCTTGGTCTTAACCATCCAGTAGAAAAGTATGAAGATGAAATATAGGAAATAAAGCCATGCTGTTATGTTGAGCTGTGGGGGACTCAGGTCAATAATTTCTGACATTGCCAGTTAAACAGAAGGCCCAATGCTATTATGGGCTACTGGACTCTTTTAGAATATTTTGCTGAGTTCACACATATAATATTCAATAACGGAACTTAGAAAAAATGGGGTATACCGATGAATGTCCATTTTGTATCTGTGTATTCAAAGTGGTTAGGATATACAGTTGCATTCTCTTAATGAATAGAATGATTTGTTCTAATGGTGTTTGTGAATAGGATCACAAGTCCGCATCTTGTACAGCAATTAAACACTAAGAAGAATATATGCAGTGTATTATGTGTTAAAACTGTACTTCCGATTTGATTTGAAACTGTCTCATTGCTATCTGTTTATCAATAAAACTTTGAAAAAAAAAAAAGAGCTGGGAGAATCCCAGGCACAAAAAGAGTAGAAGAGCCTTCCAGGAAGATGGGAGGGTGTGTGACAGCAGAAAGAACAGTGAGCAGTGGAGAGATCAAGCTGGTTCTGCTCCTGTGGCTAAGGAAGGAAGGCAAGCAGAGGGTGAACCAGATGGGGCCTGAGGCACTATCCTATGGAGTCTGGAAAGAGAGAGAGGGCTTGCATGGTCTCAGGATAGAGGTCCCTCTTCTGGAAGATGTAAGAACCAGCCATGCCTGCTATCACTCTTAGAGGCTTAGGGTAAGACAAGGAACTCAACAGACACTCAAAGGCCCAACTGCTCCTCTGGCGAGAAGCTGCACAGCAGCTTCCTCTGACCTAGAGCCTCCACTCAGATTTCTGCAGCCACTTTCAGCCTTCCCCGGCCTTGCTTTCCTGCTCATTGCTCTGCACAACTCCGCTACCAACCCTGAACCCTGGCTTCCACCACCTGCAGGTTTGAAGGTGCTGTCTGGCATGGTGGTTCATGTCCCCATTCTCCACAGCACACAAGCTCCACACCTGTGGCACTATGTCCTTGGTCCCACCATCCCCACTAGTTATGGGCTCTCTTAGGCCCAGGACAGCACTGTGTTCATCTCTGTGTGCTGGAGACCTTCAGTAATGCCTCCCCATTCAGGCCATTCACCCATCACTCCAGAGCTAGTCCTGTTCCTTTGTTTAACCAAAGATGAGATGAGTGGGTAGAGGGCAATGGAATTAATTTTAATGAACGAGAAGAGTAATGAATGCATAGTCAAGAAAGAACATGGGTAAGCAAGTAAATGAAATGAACAAAAAAAAAGAAATAAATGATGAGTGTGTGTGTGAAGAAATGAATAAACTCTTTCAAAAGGCTGATGTAGGCTGAAACTGCCCTGTCTGGGAAAACAGCTGCAGGGAGACAGGATTCAGGAGGAAAAGGGCCCCTCTGCAGGTCTCTCCTAGGCTAGAAGTAAGAGGTATGACTGCAAAAAGAAGACTCCAGGTCCCTGGAAGAAGGCGGCCCACCCGGAGCCTGCAGCTGTGGGTGACTTACAGAGTCACACTCAGCAGTCCTGTGTGGGCTTCTGGAGAATTTAGGGAGCTTCATGTGGCTTTGGAGAACCCAGACTCTCCCTGTCGGAGCCCCAGGCTCTAGGCCCCATGACTCTGCTGGGCCCTCAGGGGAGTAGGAAATTGACCCCAATTTCCTGGAGCCTTGGCCTGGGCTGATGATGCATTTGGCCTCCAGCCCCTGAAGGGCTGCAGACCTCAGCACTCCGTGGGCCAGAGCTGGCTGGAGAGTTGGGTTTGCAGCAGAGAAAGTATTTGCGTTCACAGGAATCTGCTCTGGGAGTTTCAAATGGGGGAGGCCTCACCACAGAAGGTGGGAGCACAAGGCTCTGGCATTACTGCCTCCAGTCTCCCTCCGCACCCAGCTCAGGGTCCTGTTTTGCTGCTAAATCTTCTACATCTTCTTTTAGAACCTACTGCCTAGAAACCCTAGCCTACAGTGGGCTAGGACTTCTGTGCTCCACACTGGAACCCATAGGCCATTCTAGCTCCACCTCCTGATCTTGCTGGTCCTTCCTCCAGGAGAACCACCTGTCTCCGCAGTGTGCCTCTCTTTCCTGTTCACCTTTCCACCTTTGCCTGTGAGGTGTGCTCGGCACGCCAGGCTCTGGAGCTGCGAGGTACTTAGAACCTCCTTTAATGTTCCACCTGAGTGCACTGAGCACTTGCCTCCACTGGCGCAGAGGGCAAGTGGCCTTGCCTGTGGCTGCCTGAGTCCACAGGAGATCTGAGGATTTGTAGGCTCTGGCCCAGGAAGCATGGAAGCCAGCTCTGGGGCTGTTCTTGGGAAACTGAAACGTGTGTGTGTGTGTGTGTGTGTGTGTGTGTGTTTGGCACAGTAAGGTAAAGTCCTCACCAAAGGTCTGCGTGTCTTTGCCAAAGCAGTTTCCCTCTCTGTGCTCTTGCCTGTGTGTACAGCCATTTATTCCCTTTAACTCCTCTAGCTCTTTGGCCACCCAGATCCATAGAGATCCATATTGTCAAATGCCTATTAAATACCCAGCATCCAATAAATCATTTTAACAACTTGTCCTACCAGAAATCATGTTCTTTCTACAGATTGGGAAACTCTCCGGGTCAGTGTCCTCACGGGTGTTCCCTTCCTTGGGGGGATGCAGCCTAAACACTGAGAATGGACACGAGGTGTGGCCTGTGCTGAGACCTGGCTTGTGACCTGACTCCGTCCCTGGGAAACTCACGGGGCCCAGGCTAGGTTCCTGTCCTTTCTGAGCTTCAGGGGCCCTAAACGTAAACAGGCTGTAGGGATCCTGCCAAGCTCCAGGGCCCTTGCTCCATGATTCCTCTGCTTGCCTCTAGGAGGCTGACAAAAAGGTGACAGGAAGTTCTTTGCAAAGCTGCCCCAATTGACGCAAGTGAGGGTGTTGCTGCTTCTTCTGCCACCCTTCCTTTCCGGCCATGCGGAATTGCTGAAACCCAGTATTCGATGGGTTTCTTGGTCCACAAAGCATGTGCGGCCATTGTCCTTTCCCGCTGCAGGCATCTCTACAGGCTTTGTCCCTGTCCCCAAACTGGCTGCCCCCTTAATGGCCTGTAGGACCCCCATGGTGCTTCTCACCAGGGGCCGGGCCTAAATTATCACCTCAAATGGCACAGCAGTGTCTGAGCTGGATTAAATCCTGAGACAATTAGCACCTCAGGCTGCTTGTCCAAGGAGTCCCTGCCCCTTACCACCAGCCTGCCCTGGAAACTTTTAGGGGCAATGGAAAGAGGAGGCCTTGTGAGGCCAAAGCCCTGCCTACCAACCGGAAACCAATTTGTGAGTGAGTTGCTGCCTTCTCTGGCCTCCTGTGTGCATCTGTAAAACAAATATTGTCTCTTTCTCAAGGATTTATTATGAATTGTGAAAAAGAGAGCAAGAATATAATCCCAGCTTAGGGTCCATGAAAACACTCAGGAAGTGGAGAGGGGTTAGGACTACGTTCCCCATCTTGGTTTAAAAGGACAAGGACACTATATATGCGAGGGCTGAACTGCGTAATACACTAAGCATAAGCCTCTCTATTTCGACTGAACATGGAACACAATGAATTCAATAGCATTTAGCATGTAGTCACTGGGCCATCATAACCATGTTGTGCGTGTCCCATGGCCAAATGCAGCCAGCGGCAGAGCACAGGTATGAAATGCTTTCAGCAGTGCACTGGGTGCTAGGCAGTGCTGTTCTAGAAGAACTAAAGTGACACTAAGTCTATGGGTTTCATGAGCGAAAGGCCGGATTTCACCACTTGCCACCCTTGTGCAAATCCAATGCCCGTTCTCTGACTTTCTGGAGCTAGCCAGCAGAGGATTGGCTTTTAATCAGTGGCCTTTGCTTCTCTGTCATTTAGGAGCCCACCTGGAGCACCGAGGATTGGCTCCCCTGCCATAACTAGGAAAGCAGGGCTCTGTCACTTCCCTGGGTGGCCAGGCCCACTGGCGTAAGCAGCACCCTCCCCAACTCTTTAGCTATACCTTGCTTTCATTGCCTGATTGAGTCCTCAAAAATAAACTACAAGGAAAGTAGCATTGCACCCTCCCCCGCTGTATGCACAAGAAAACTAAAGCTTAAGGTGTTAAGTAACTGATCCTCCAGCTACTAAGTGGTGAAGCCAGGATTTGAACCCGGGCTCCAAATCCAGCATTATCTTGCCTCCCAGAAAATGAGTGCAGTGGAGATTATTTATTTTCAAGCTTTTAGTGGCAGTCAGAGGAAGTATGTGACTCTCTCCTACAATAAACTCTGTCTTTCCTGCCAGGATCTGGAACTTGTTTGGAAAACAAAGAATCCCCGCTCCTTACAAGCCATTGGAGTTGAGGTGCTCTGGGCCCTGCAGTTCTGCTGTGTTTACAGGCAGAGAGAGGGGATCTGAGGTGAATACTAGCTTTGGCTCTCAGGCTGCTGGTCTGAGGGTAGAGCAAATTCACTTTCAGTACATGCTAGAAACGTCAATTGTGTTGGGAGTCTGCTTGGCATACACCCCCTCATTCTTTCAGCTGACAAGCAATACCCTGCTCGGTCCTGTCCAGCCTCGCCGCCTATTGCCAAACAGAGCTGCTTGAGTCGTCTGATAAATTTACATTTTGCTATCCTTTAAATACAAACTGGCCATGAAAGTTCCCTGGCAGGCCCCAGGCAGACTGGGTTTCAGTTTGATAGCATGGCCGAAGCCAGAAGAGTATTTGGCTCAGCAGTTTGCATAGCTGTTAGCAACAGTTTTATGTAAGGGAGGGAGAGGGAAGAGGATTGTCCCGGAAGAGATCATCCTAGTCTTTGGCCCATGCTGGTTCCAGCACAGGCTCCTGTGCCCTGGATGTGGCCAAGGGTACCACCAGCACTGATGGGTGTCCCCCGGAGCTGGACCGTGCATGGCCAAGGACTTTCAGAGCCTGAGAGGGGCACCTGGGTGCTGACTCAGGCTGTGAGTGCCACTTCGTCACCCAGGGTGCAGATGGATTTCTGTGTCTTGGTTTTCTCATCTGGAAAGTGAGAAAATTGGCTTTGCTCTTCATTGCAGCCCTTTTTCTCATCCATAATCCAATTGCCACTTTGTGAGGGCCTACTAAGTGCCAGGCCCTGTCCTGAGTGCTGACATTGAAGTGGTGCGAAGCCCCAAAACACTCAGGCCGTGTGGTTAGTGCTGAGAACTGGGGATCCCAACAAGGATGCAAGAGGGAGGGTCTAAGTCTCCCTGGGGAGGCCAGGGATCTGGAGCACCGCCCACAGGGAAAGGGAGCCTGGTGGGTGAGCTCTGCCATGACCAGGAGAGAAACAAGCAAGATGCTTGCCTGTGGCTCAAAAAAGGGAGAATGGGGGCCAGGGTTGGGTTGGTGGCCCTGGGGACCAAAAGGAACAGCGTTAGGAGATGTTTTGAAGGGAAAATGGGAATCGCGAGTAGCTTGCACATGAGGGAGGGGAATCAGAAAAAGTTGAGGATGGTGGGTTATTTGGACGTGCACACCAAATAATACAGACAAGCGAGACCAGACAAAGAAGAGAGCTGTGGTGGAGCTCAGCTGGCTGGAATTGACCTCACCTGGATTATGGTCTTTACACTTCTGTGCATGTGGGGTTGGGTTATGGACCCTAAAGGATGGTCCCTCCTATCTTTCACTTTCCTTTCCAGTTCTTGACTCCTTGCCCATCATGTTGGGTGATGAACGCTAGATGAGGAGATGTAGAAAACTCCCTCTACAGAACTCCTCAGTAGAAGCAGGCAGGACTTTCTCTCATGTGTCTAGAAATAAAATTCAAACCCTCTCAGCTCTTCTTGACCTCCCTTTCTTCTACAATGTGCTCAAAACCGTACTTCTCTGCTAAATATGGGCCCTTCTGCTCAGGAGCCAACTGATGTCTAAAGATAATGGGGGTCTTGTGATCTTAAATATTTCAAGGACCAATGTGGGTGTTGCTAGTGATAGAAAACTGAGAAAGGTGGGAAAAAATATCTCTGGTCAGAGTAACTTAATTTCACATACTGGGGATCCATGTTTAATTTCCTGTGTAAGGTTCTCGTATTAAAACATACTCAGAGCCAAAGATTTCTGAATAACTGAAGCATGATATTGTAGAGAGAGAGAAACAAAACTCAAAGAAATTAATTTGCCTAGGATGCTAATTAGTGATGTACTCCAGGCCAATGTAGATAGCAGACTGGAGTCATTGCGATGGTATAGTCTGGTCTTTGGTGAGTGGAGAGGAGAGGGACCAGGGTCCTCACCAAAGGTCCTAGGAGGCTTACCTGGGTGGTGTCGCTATCCTCACACTTGATTCTGCACTCGCTGTTGAACTGGAAGCCATTAGTGCACTGATAAAGCCCATGGAATTTGGGTGGAGGTGGGTCACAGGTCACAGGAACACAAGCTACCTCCTGCCAGCTGCCATCCTGGGTACACTGAGTCTTGAAGGCCCGTCTTCAAAGAAGAGAGGAAAGAAGAGACAGCTCAAGAACAAATTGCAGAGCAACACCCTCCCAACATACTGCCACACTGCCTCATTCTTGTCTTCCTTTTCTTGATTCCCTTCCTGTCCCATCAGGTGGTGGAGGGAAGTGTAGGGATTATAGGAGAAGAATTCACAGAACTCCTTCCATAGAGGCAGATGGGAAGGTCAGACTCTCTCAGTGGCATGTGGATTAAGATGAAACTCTGCCCTATTAACCTCTTGACTTCCCCCTTTCTTCTGGAGTGTTCTGATGGGTGTTGACACAACAACCATATGAGCACTCACTATGTATTAAGCAGCCGCTCTGCACAAGGATCTTTATCTTTGAAAATTGGAGATTAAGCCCAGACTATTGGGCTTAATCTCACACTAACCAAATTCACAGTCTGTTTGAATTTCTATTTTCAGATGAGGCCTTGCCAAGTTGCCCAAGTTAGGCTGGAATGTGTGGTCCTTCTGCCTCAGCTTTTTAGAATGTACCACAAGGCTGGCTTTTACAAAACATCGTTATGAGTATTTTGTTCATGTGTCTTCAGTGATTCTTCACAGGAACCTGATGTAGAAATTATTCTTATCATCTTCCTTTGGATGCTGAGAAATGCCACAGAACTGAAGTCACTTGTCTGAGGTCACAGCCAGCTTGCAGCCAAGGCAGAACCTAAAGTTAGTTCTGTTGGGCCCAAATCTGCAGTTCTGCATGCTTTCCGCCAAACAGAGTGGGATGACTGATAGGTCAGCAAAGCAATGAGTGCTGCCTTCCAAAGAAGTAGTTAAATCTGACTCTATTCCTTCCCAGACCTTGTGAGGTTGTTCCCGGCCCTACTTACTTCTTTGACTTCCGAGAGGAGCCAGGCACGTGGTACCCAGGCTTGCACTTGTACTTGCAGAAGGATCCCACCTTGTGCTTATTCTCACGGCACCGGGCTGTCTGGAGGTCTGCGTTTGGTACTGGGGCTGGGGCGAGACACATGAGCTCACACAGGGCCTCTGGGAAGGACCACAGCCCATCTTCCATACAGGTCAGGAAGCTGTTGTTGCCTGGGAGACACAAATGGCAGGGTTGTCAGACAAGAGAGCTCTTGTCAACTGACCTAATACAGAGGTTGGCTGGGTTTTAGCTGACTTGACCACCAAGAGAATTTCTCAGGTGGAACTCCAGTTTCTTCCACTTTTTAACAGAGGCTCTTAGGGAGCCCCAGAAAGCTGCTGCAAAGAAGAGGAGGCATAAAACAACTGGGGAATGAATTGCTTCCATTTCAATGATAAACTACAACCTTAGGCTTGTATAATGGCTGAAATCCAAAATGGCACCCCAAGAGGCTCATTGTTTTGAAGACTTAGTTGCTGGTAGGCTTATGGAAAGTGTTTGTATCATGAAGGCCCTGACTTCCCTATGGATCACCTCAGTGATAAGATCTCTCCTGAAGGTGCTATTTGGAGGTGATGTAGACAGGAGGGGGGCCCTAGTTGCAGAGAGTAGACCCCTTTTGTCTCTGATTCTTTCTTTCTTTCTTTCTTTCTCTTTCTTTCTTTCTTTCTTTCTTTCTTTCTTTCTTTCTTTCTTTCTTTCTTTCTTTCTTCCTTCCTTCCTTCCTTTCTTCCTTTCTTCCTTTCTTTTCTTCCTTTCTTCTTCCTTTCTTCCTTTCTTCCTTTCTTCCTTTCTTCCTCTCTTTCTTTCTTCTTTCTTTTGTACAGGGTCTCACTATGCAGCTCAGACTTATAGTGATCCTCCTGTCTCAGCCTCCTCAGCACTGAGATTATAGGCAAGCAATACCTCATCCAGTTTCAGTGGCTGGCATGGCACAATGGGGTTCTGGGGCCAGCATGGCATGTGGTGCCGGGGATGGAACCCAGATCCTTGCACTTGCGAGGCAGGTGCTTGGACTGCTGAGCTATCTCTCCAGCCCCTCTTTTCCTTTCTTTCTGCTTCCTGGCTGTTAGATGAGCAGCTTTTCTGAACCATGCTCTTCAACCTATTTCTTCTTCTTCTTCTTCTTCTTCTTCTTCTTCTTCTTCTTCTTCTTCTTCTTCTTCTTCTTCCTCCTCCTCCTCCTCCTTCTTCCTTCTTCCGCAGAACTGGGGTTTGAACTGAGACTTGCACTTGCCAGGCAAGCACTTATTCTACTGAACCATCTCCCTGGCTCCTCTTCAACCTATTTCTTCACTCTAACGCTCTCCTAGCTGAGCTATTTCAGCCAATTCTTCAGCCTATTTCTGCTTTACCAAGTGACCCAAATCAACAGACCCACCAACCACTGATGTCAGAGGACTCAAACCTTTGAAACTACAAGCCAGAATAAAGCATCCTTCCTTTCAATTGTTTATATCTGGTATTTTGTTGCAGTAATGGAAAGCTGCTTACCATAGCATTTAAACTGCTCATGCTGCCCAGAAAAGAGATCTTCACTGTCTTTCCACCCATTCAGTTTGCTGAGAGACAGGGACTTGCCTCTGCAGCTGGCAGAATAAGCCAGCTCCTATTAGGAATCTACTCCAATTCTGAAATCTGTGTCCTGTGCGACCTTAACCAGTCACATCCCCCTGATGAGACCTTTGCATCTGTCCTGCTCCTATCCATACCTGCAAGTCGCTGTATCACAATATCAGGTTGGGTTTTCTGTGGAAGCTTAGTGGTCAGAAAAACTCTGCCAAATAAGCCAAGACAGGGGCACTGCGCCGCAGCTCAGGCCAGCTCGCAGAGGGCTGACTGCTATGGGGACACTGGGCTGGTAGGAATGTTAAAAATAAAACACAGCAGAAAGGCCTTCACCTTGCCAGCTCATGTGTTCTCTGAGCAGAGCCTGCTACAGTCTCCCCAAAATAGTTAGAGCAGGACCTAAACCGAGTGTTTCTCAGTGAAATTCTTTCTTCCCTCATTAGAACTGAGTAGTGTTGACAGCCAGGGCTCTTAGAGTTGAAGGTTGGAGGAATAGAGTGATAAGGAGAAAAACAACATTTATTGAGCAAATGCTATGCTCTGAGTGCTTCTCATATAGAACCTCATTTATCCTGCAATAAACAGCATGCCTTGTGTGACAATATTCATTTAGAAACAAGGACTCAGAAGGAGAGGACTTTACCAAGTTTTTAGTTTGTCTTATAGCAAAGCAAAACAGAGCACCTCACTTGTGAAACCAATTTTGTCTAACCACAGAGATGGTTTTTTAAAATGGAAAGTTGGCTCTCAATGTTCAGCACAGATCTTATTTCCTGGGAGAGCCAACCTCAACTTTCTTCTTCTCAGAATTAACACAGTTGGTCCTGACTTTCGTATGTTGAGAAGATTAATTGCAGTAGCATTTACAAAAAGGACCCATAAAATTGCTGTCAATGTCTTTGTTTGCTAAGCTTGTGTCCTTCTTCCCTGTCTCCTTTTCCTCTTAGCACTCTTATATGTTAGGGGGAAACCACGGAACAAAACAAAACAAAATAAAGCAAAACAGAACAAGGATAACGCTGCCCTCTTGTTGCTTATGATCTAGCTGTATAAGGAAAAACACAATAAACTACACTAAAAGTAAATTGTAGTGTTTAGTGTGTTAGTGGGTGGCAAGTATTGAGGACAAAAACAAAGCAAGTAGAAGAACAGAAAGAGAGGCAAGCACTTTGTAATTTCATAGGGCTCTGCTGTTCCTTCTATCCCCACTCATTTTCTCTCATTGCCTCCCTTAGCTGTGTGACTCATCTGGGTAGCAGAAGACATCCCAGAGCCTGTAAACCTCAGAGAAAATATTCCATTGATAAACTGTAATGCTGCCAGCTATAGACATGTTCACATCATGTTAAATGAAGAAGGGGTGTAGGAAGACAATTCCTTTGGATCTTGAAGAAGTAGAGAAGCTTCCAGAGCCCAGGGACTTCCAAGTTCCTTTTATCTTGCTTTGGAAATCAGGGTGGTCAGTGTTTGGGGAGAGGGTTTCAAGCATAATTTAAACTTAATGGGAAAGAGAGCTATAAAAGATATATGATCTACATCTTACTTAAATTGCTCATGGGATAAAATATCTTTGGGCAATGTGTTTGGGATCTTAAAAAGTATGCTGGACCAGCTCTGCAGATAGTGAATTGTGAAGTGAAAGTCTCAGTTCTTATGTAACAAGATAACATAAAAATTGCAGAATGTTAAGGAATCAAGTGATAAAATGTAAACTAGAAACACATTCTTAGGGAAAGTACTGTAGTTAGGAGGCGACAGTGTCAAAAGAAGCAACATGTTTAAAGGAAGAATCAGTGGTTCAGGACCATGGATATGTCCTCCACAAGAACTCAAAAAATGCAGTCAATGAAGAGTACAGAATCACAATTTCCACTCCCCAACTAAATCTACTACTTGAACTGACTAAGGGCTTTGAAGACAGCTAGCATGGCAGATGCAGATCTGTGCTCTCCCTACCTGCCCATTGCATTGACCTCTGTATGTTGGAGGATGCTTACTGCACTGAGATTGTTTGTTCTGGACATGGATATGTGCTCTGTCCACAAGAGGGGCCAGCTCAAAGACAAGGAAGGTGGTAAGCAGCACTGAGCCAGAAATGGACCTGGCAGATTTACATGTCAGCTGTAGGGTTTTGATCATGGAAGCATGTCTTATACTGTCCCTCTGAGTTCCCAGAGGGTCTGAGTTCTTGCAGCATACAGTGGTAGCTAGTTTTAGAAGACAGCCTTTGTGATCTTTGTTAATTTCTTGTACTCTCTCCTCATCCCCTACTTGCACTTCCTAGAAAGATGATGCAGGTCACAAAGCAAAAGCTCATAGAATCCTGGAGCTTCCAGCAGAAGGCATGGATGGTGATGCTGGATATTAGGATCTCATCCTTTTGAGTCCCTGTGCCTTCATTTGCTCATCTTTTTTTAATGTATTTGATACAGGGTCTACAGGGTGTTCAGGGTCTCATTATGTAGATTGGACTCATCATGATCCTCCTGTTTTCAGCCTCCCAAGCACTGGGATTACAGGCATGCACCACCACACCCATTCTTAATCACTGTCTCAGCATGCCCCAGGGTTGGGGCCAGCATGGCATGCCAGGGATTGAATCCTGGCCATTGCATTCTGCCTAAGCAGGTGCTTTAGTCCACTAAGCTATCTGGCCAGCCTTTTTTATTTTCCCATCTTTTGAAGTCAGAAACATAAATCTTACTCTGCCTGTCTACAACTGTGGCTGGATTTAGTTCTGAAGGTACTTTTCTAGGGCCCAGTAATCACAAGGAGTTAAAGTGTACATATACAACGGGCTTGACATCCTCAGAATGTATATCATCTACTGAGTAATTAATCAAATTGCACTTTGTTTAATTTTCCTCCCCCATACATGCCTGCATCAAATCTTGTCATTGTCTCTCTGTGAATCCCTGCAGTTGACCAAGGAAGAATTATTTACACCATCTTCTCGATCCTTCTAGTAACATAATTGCAAGTAATGATTAATCCCACCTTTATGTGAGAAAACTAAGACTTTAGACGGCCAGAGTAATGGCTTTTCAAACTAGACTTGAAGCTCAATCCTGGTTGACCTGACTCATACATTGAGTTTCTCCATCTACATTTTGGCTTCTGCCCCTGAGCACAGCCAAGGAAGGGTCACTGTTCACAGAAAATCTTATGGAGTCCAGAATTTAGACCAGCGGAGGGTCATCAGACCAAGGACTATCCCCACAATAAAATTTCCGAATCTGCACCCTCTCCCATCCTTCCAGAATGATGTCTTCTCCACTTCCAAATTTCTTTACCAGGGGCCCCTAATTATTGTTCCAACTGCTAGATAAGAAAGCAAGTGTTTTAAAAAGTAGTGATTTTGAGGGATAATGAGAGGAATCCTTCCTAAGAAAGGGAAAAAAGAGTCACATAACTTGGACACTTCTTTGCAGGCAGGGATGGACAAGTGCAAGTGGAAAACACAAAATACACTATTCTACCACTTTACCACATCAGCCCAAAGGGTGAATACTGAACAGCATAGGATGTGCCTACTCTCCACATCCAACAGGGCTCCTCTCTTCTTCAGTTAAATAAGGAATCAGCAAAGACTCAATACAAATGGGTTTGAAGTGGGAGCCCTGAGTATACCAAGTCTTAAATCTAAGGACAAGGCTGTGTTAGGAACAAAGATCTCTTACAAAGATCTTCACAGCATCTGGCCATGCTTGCTTTAGAAGCTGCATGCCCTGTAAATATTAAAAGCACATGGCATAGTTGAATTGAGCTGGGGTTAACTAAGTGATGCAAGTGATATATTTTTAGACATTTGATTAAACATTTATGATTCTGGTTTTCAAGTTTTCTATTCTGGGTTTGAGATGTCTTGGGCCTTCATGCACTTTCCTAGGTTCATTAGATTAAAAAATACGTTAGCATAAGTAACTTTAAGATGGCGAATTCTTATGATATTTTGCTTCAATCTTGAAGACAGGTTGGAATTCAAATTATATTCCAAGATGACTGAGAAAAATTTAGCTGGATGTAAGGGTGAGGAGGGTTTGTGCTGCTTCCCAGGGATTACACTCAGTATTTTACCCTACGTGGTAATTGTTCTTTTGAAGGCATCAAATTTGTGGCCTGGAAGAAACATGGAACGTGGACCATGTTTCCATATTTCAAGTGTCAAGGGCCCCTTGAACCAAGTAGTTTAGTAACTGAGATATCAGACACTGCTCAGGTTTCTATAGGGTGTTTTCGAAGAAAATGAATATACACCAAGCCCTTTCTCTTACTTTCCTTTAGCTCTAGCCTTTTATATATACCATCTCTCTTAATCCTCAAACTGAGCCTTCAGAATGAGCACCCATAAGCCTGTTTTATAAGGGAGAGGTTGAAGCCTCCTAGATCTGTAATTACTCATATGAATCCAAAACTTTGGAAAGGGATAGATAGAACCAAGACTAGAAACTTGGGCTAACTTTCAAGCTATTGCTCCTTCAGCTTCATACATTCCAAAAGAGAGGAAGAAGATCCAGGTGGAAGGAGAAAAAGAAGCACCCCAAGTAATGGGGAAGAAGTGGTTTGATCACCTGTCTACTCCCAGCCTTGAGAAAGGAGGCAAGTGAGGCGAAAACAGCAAGCTTAGAGAGAAGCTGCAAGTCCTGAGCCTAACACAGCTATGAAGATCCGGGCAGAAGCCTCAGTGCAGGAATTTGGAGACCTGATAATGTGGACAACCAAGCTGCAGAAATGGCAGCTGGCAGGAGGGCCAGTGTACCAATGGAAGGAATGCTTCTCAGTACTCTCAAGACAATAGGCACCCTCAAGGTGCTGGTCCTCCTCAGGCTTCACTTCTATAGCTTGCCCCAAACATAGTCAACAGAAAGCAATGGCAACCAGGGCCTGCATCACTTTAAGAGCTTTAATTGGCCACAAAGAAAGCTATAGTAATCAATGCTAATTTATACATCTCCTTTTCCCAAGGGCCTCTGATTGAAAGAAGTGTGATTTCCTAGTCTGGAGTTATTAATACATACTGTATGCCATTGGCAAATGGGGCCAAGCGGTTAGCTTGGATGGCCTGAAAGTTGGAGGCTTTCCAATTTCCACTGGTTTCTTCACCTCTCTCTGACCTAAATCTTCATAATAGCACAAATGAAATGTCTATAACTTTTTTTTATTCAAATCTTATTGGGTTAAAAAGGAGAGGAGTTATGGATTGTGTCCCAGATGCACTTCCTGCCTTTCTTTTGGGGCAATTTAGTAAGATTGATGGGTCTTTGCTTCATTTCTTAAAAGAAATGTGCCTTGTGGTATTTATTTCATCACTCTCTCTAGTCATCCAGCCAATACGTTTTATTGAGTCTTATTGTATGCCAGGTCCTGGGTTCAGCGATAGCAATATGGAAAGACATTAAACATAGCCACTGTGCTTGAGTCTTGTGTCATTTGAGTTTCCTAATATTTTGGAATCATGTGTTTCCTTGAAAACTTGGTGAAACTATTAGTGCCCTTCAATCATCAAAATGTCTGAAAGTTTGGCACATGCAATAGAACATCAAAATGTAAGAGAATCCACAGACTTTGCCCAAGATCCCATGCATCTCACAGGGCCCCACTGATGCACTCTGTATCACAGACCCAAAAGTGCATCTCTGTACTCTGATGAGTAGTAGTCCTGTACGGATCTGATGTGGAAGTGGTGTTTCCTCTGACAAATCACACAAAAGAGAGCATTCCATTACCTCCAGAGTCAAGCATAGAGTGATAATGCTACGCATGGCCAGTGAGAAGCTGGATGCACTCTCCTTGACAGTGCTCCCAACTTAGGGGATTTTTGTACAGGTTCCTTCCCCTTGTCCACCTGGATTCTGGATTCTCAATACGTCTAGCTATTCTCGATGAGCTCCAAGAGCTCTTTGAGCTCTGGCATTCTAGAACCTCCAGGTCAATCTCTCAGAAGTTTCCAAACTGTGATCCTTTTGCAGCATGTCAGACTGTTGAATTCTCCTCCATACCTTCAGTGTCCCATCCATAAAAGATGCCATGTGTCTCCACACCTGCATCTCTCTCCTCTATACCTACTTCTTTTAGAGTAATATTTGGTACTGTAGAAAGATTAATCTGTGCGAAGACATGACCCCCAACACAAATACAGCAACCCTGGGCAGACTCCTTAAACTTTGAGGCTCAGTTTTTTCCTCTGAAAAATGGAAATATGAATACCACTTACCTCCTATGGCTTAGAGGCTCTAGTTATGCTGGTAAACTAGTTACATCAGCATCAAAAGCAGCTTTTTCTACTCTCTCCATCCCCAACCCAGCAAGATATTGCAGTCTCAGAAGGTTTTTCACTGACATTTTTTCCACATGTTTCCTTAGCTGCACAATGGGGCAGTTTATATAAACACAATAGGTAGAAAGAAATCAAGAACACAGCTGTAACCTGGTCCAACCTTCGGTGTTTAAGACCTAGAGGGAGGGCCTGGAAGTAGTTTCTAGGTTTCCCACAGACAAAGAAAGGCTGAGCTGAGGCAAAGACTCATGATACCTTTCAACTGTGCGGGGTGACGGCACTGAAAAGAACATTTGCTGCCAAAGGTGGTGCCCTCCAGACAGGAGAAGGAGGCGGCATAGACATGATGGTGATCGGGGACACCGCAGTCCACTGGCTCACACGCCACCTGCTTGTTCCACTTGCCCTCTGCGCAGGTCACTATGACACTGGGTCCAGTCTAAAAAGCAGAGATAGGCACAGTAAGGGACAGCAGACCAGGCCCAAGAAGTTGTGGAAAAACACACTTCTTCCACACATGACATTTCAGTCTTGCCTGGACACCAGGAGACCAATGTCTGGTGCTTAACATTAGCTCATTTTAAATAATTTCAAAAGCTGTACAAAATAGAAAGCTTAGTTCCTTTTTAAAGGTGAGAAACCTGAGGCTTAGGGAGCTTATATGCTAAATACCTGGGTAAGCATATGTGGGACATGAACTCAGAGACTATTCTACCTTTATAGAGTCTTTCAGATTATTATTTCCATCTTTGTGACAAGGGTTTGGGAATCCAGGGCCTTTCCTAAATATGGCAACTTCTTTACCAAAGGCTCAAGTGTGGTTAAAGTGGTGGATGCTGGCCCCTGGGTGTTGATCATGATTATCTTTTATTGGAGGTGGCTACTAGGAGCCTAAAGGAGTCTTCGGTACACAGTAGATATTTCTTTGGGGTACAAGAGACCTGAGTAGTTGACTTTTATATGATCAGACCATGTGCAAGTCCTTTCTTTCCTGAGTTTTCCTACTGATAAAATGAATTGACTAAATCTGAGAATTGCTCTATCAAACACTCCTTATTCTCAGATTTGGTGGCTCAATAATCAAGAGATAAGGATATGAAGAAGAAACAAGTCTGGGGAAAATGAAAGAGTTGGCAGAGATAGACTAAAGTAGAAGATGAGGGCTGTGTTGGTGGAAAGGTGAGGTCACGCTGTGCAGCCAAGGGGAAGATGCTCAACAGGAGCCCACAGGCTTCCAGTCAAAGAGAAAGCACCAAGTCCCCAAGTACTGGGGATGCCAAGTGTAGATCTGGGATTTTAATAGTAAAGGACATTTTCCTCTGTTAAACACACATCAAAGGGAGTAGAGGTCTTTCACTGCCAAAACAGCTTTTTGTTTCCACAGGAGTTCAGACCTGCCGTATTTGATACATGGAAGAAAGCAAGGCTCTTAGACTAGCAAGCCCAGAAAGCTGTGTGCAGCTAGACATATCCAACAACAAAGGAGGTGCCTGTGACTTGCGTGAAGATGCAAAGTCCAGAGCCCTGGAAAATCTGCATCCAGAAACACAGCTCTTGGATCCTCAAATCCCTGGGCTGGAAGGATCTTTCACTGCACCCTTGTCCCACTGCCCCACTGCCTACCTGAGACATCAAAGAAACATCTGCCTGAGCAGCATCCTGCCACATCATTCCAGCCCATTTACTGTGGCACATGGCACATGAGGCTCATTTGGTCTTTCATGTGCTCCACTAAAGATGTCCAGAAAGTTTTTTGCTACCCTTCTTCCTGCTGGACTCCAAGCCACATGGGCAGCCAGAAGTACCTTGGTTGATATGATGTGACCACAGTGTGCCCTTCAACAGTTTCCTGTTTCCCTAAGGATGAGCCTAAACTTCCTGAGTGAGCTGGCACTTGCTGCAGCAGTTGACCTGGCTCTAGTCTCAGGACTTGGGGTGAATTTACAAGACATAAAAATTCCACCTATGGCATGCTTCTTCTCACCAAGGGGCCTCCATATACATTTCCTGCCAATGCCAGAGTATTGTCTGTCCCTCCTACCCTTTGTCTAGCTATCCACTTCTCAGTTTTCATGTTATTTCTAGGATGTTTCCCATGAATTCCACTGGGATTCAACAACACCCTACACTTCGCTCTACAGTATAAATCATGCTGTGAGGTCACTGCTCATGAACTGTCCATCCTTCTCTCCACTGGGAACTAAGCTCATTGAGAACAGTGCCCGGGTCTACTTAATCATGTCTTTTCTAGAATGTAGAACAACATCTGATTTGCAATGGACATGCTTTATAATGAATGAAAGAAAGAAAGAATGAATGAATGAACATGTCATAGAGGACTCGCCTCTACCTAAAGCACCCCATTCAATTATAGTAGAGTCCTAATTGCAAAAGCTTTATTTTACACATTCAGCTCATCCTCTGGAAGATCTACAACTTATACGAAGACACTGATGTGTATGACATGTGGAATACACTGCACAGGAGCTCTCTGAGGAGTCTACATGCAGTTGTTGGTTTCTTGATTCATTCATGTGTGTGTAAGTTGAGAGAGGAGAGAGAGAGAGAGAGAGAGAGAGAGAGAGAGAGAGAGAGAGAGAGAGAGAGGAGAGAGAGATATCTACTATGTGTATTACATGGCAGAACTATATTCATACCACTATTTTTGTGGCACTAGCAGCACTATTTCCTGTGCTGGAGACTCTGCAGAGAACATGTTTCATGCCCGCCGCCCTTCCCCAAGCTGGAAGAAGGCTCTGCGCTCAGCACCTACACACCTGGCTTTTGAGCAGCTCATCATCCCTCTGTATCTGGAGCACGTAACCCGTCTGGCAGCGGACAGTACACTGGGCCCCGTGGTAGCGGTCGCTGCTGGAGCAATTGAGGGAAGCATTCTCCACGGCCAGCTCTGGGCAGTCAGAGGCCTTACAGGCAAAGTGCACACAGCTGAGAAGGGAAAAGATGAGAGGGTGAGGGGTGTTTGCTCATGGACAATTACACTGTGGAGGAAGGACAAGGCCTGCACTTCTCAGAACTTCAGGATGCTGAGACTGAAGGAAGAAAGGGGGCTGCTTGGGGTAGAGGAGGCTGGAGGCCATGGTTAAGGTTCACTATTAGAAGTTCAAATTATGAGGACACATTATGTAGATTCAGATCCTGCCACTTAACAGCTCTGTAAGTTACTGGGTTTCCAACCTGACAGCCTCTGTTTTCCAATTTATGAAATGAGAATCATTAAGATTACAGTAAATATTTTATTTCCAGGCACTATGTTAAAACCTGTTTATATTTTGTAAGAGTATTCATTTCTGAGGGCCTTGGGAGAATTAATTCAGTGAATACTGAAAATACACACAGCAGAATTCCTGGTACATCCAAAGCACTCAGTTATTGGTAACTAATGCATAAATACATATATCTCCCCTTATCTAGAAGCTGTGTGGCCCAACCATACTCTCTTTCTGAGCTCAGCATCCCTTCAAATTGAGCAAGCCTCACACAGCTAATAGACTCAACAAAGGGATGGAGGTCGGAGTCATTCATAAACTACAAGGTGACCTTTGAATTGTCAGTGACAACTGCAGAGATCAAGGCTGGCTGCTTGCTGTTGCAGCCACTGTTCACTTTTCTTCTAGGCTGAATTCTACTCTTTCATCTTGCCCAAGCTATATGCAAATTTCTTTCTTTTTTGTTTGTTTGTGTTTTGGCAGTAAGGTGGATCAAACTAGGGACGTTGTACTTGCTAGGCAGGCACTTAAGCCACTGAGCTATATCCCTAGCCCTACTTTCCTGTCTCTAACACAGTAGCCTCATGCTAGATGCAAAATAACCACAGGCCCTGGGTGCCCACTAGTTCCTGGGATGGGTGCTAATACTTAGCAGTGCAAACAGAAACCATATGAAGTTCCTGTGTTTGGCTCTTTCCTCTTACGTTACAGTTATTCAGACGCTCAGTAACATTAGTTCCTATTCACTCACTGCTTATATGCATGAGCTCACTCCAGCCTCACAATAATCCTCTGAGCTAAGTGTTATTCATTTTACAGTTGGAAAAGTGAAGGACCAGAAAGATTAAGTTACTTGTACAAGTTCTCACCCACATGTGTGACCCAAGAGTCCTTGTAATTAACCTTGACCTACAGTTCTAGGCTTTGGCATCCTTGTGTGCAGAGCTATCCGTTTCACCTTATGAACATTACATTGTGCATTCAAATATGCCTTACACAACATCCATTGCCAAATGACAAGAAACAAATGAAGGCTCCGAAGCAGTGCACTGAGGCTGAGGTGTTTATTTCTGACTCAGAAAGTTTTGTAGGGTTACTTTTCTCTGACTGTCACCTCTCTGATGGTGTCTGCCTTGATACCTACAGTACACACAGAGAGCTACATTTTCATCCATAACCTCAATGTCTTGTTTTCCAGTTTTAACCTACTATAGATTATAGCGACCTTCTGGAGAGCTTTCTAACATGCTCTTGGTGCCTATTTCACAATGCTCTGCTGAGGGCTCCATCAGGACACGCTTACTCACACTGCACATTCTGCCTACTGCTCCAAGCATAGTAAGAAACAAAGTGGGAGTGGCAGAGGAGCTCCAGGCCTCCAGAACACAGCATGGGCACACACACTTTCTTAAATGCTCAGAGAAGCATGAACACTTAATTTTGGTCTCAGATCCTCTCCAATGAGGCTTTGCACACTTCCCATATGCCCTCCCTATAGACAGGACAAATGACATCAAGGGACACAGATTGGGCTCCTCCCATTCTCTTCCTTTTCGGCCTCCTCCCCACCCCTGAGCCTTCAGCACTGCAGCATGCAGAGATCTTAAAGAGCCTGTGACTATGGTGTCAACGCAAGGGCTTTGACACCAAACAATGCATTTGTTCATGTTGTGTAAGCGCTGGGGGAAGGAGCCACGTGGTTCCAATTTAAATAGATTTATTCCATAAGCTTCTAGCAGCTCACAAGCAGTTTCTGACCTGTGCCTTTCAGTTTAGATACTTTTGCTTGCTCCATACTCTAGAAGGCTCCGAGCCCCTGTCCTGTGAGGATCCAGAGGGAAAAGAGACTTTGTTCTCTGGGCCCTGGGGCCTTGGATGTCAAAATGGTACCTTTTTCCTTCTTCTGTGCATGTTACATTCTTCTTCATAGGAAAGTGAAAACATGAAACATTTCATTTCCCTGGGTGGAAAAGGTACAGTGCTATACTGATCAAGGAAATTGAAATTCAAGTTCCAGCTCTGAAATTTATTTATTTATGTATTTTGGCGGAACCAGGGGTTGAACTCAGGTCCTTGAAATTGCCAGGGAAGCGCTTATTCCACTGAGCCATCTCCCCGGCCCCGCAGCTTTGAAATTTATCAGTTGTGAGAACTTTGAAGTGGAGGCAACATTCTAAGGCTCAGTTTCTTCATCAGTGAAAGGAAAGCAATGAGATGATTTATCTCTTGGAACTATGAGCAAGATGAGCTGCCACCCATAGTTTTTCTATTGAACAGACCCTGATAGGGTCTCACTGGATACCGAACTGTGCTGGAGGGGACCAATAAGGTACATGGAATCCCGGGTAGCTAAGAGGGAAGTCTGGATGCTGAGGAATAGTGAGTCACTTTAGACAGTGATGCACACAGAATGCCATGACAACGAAGCGAAACTGTAGAGGATGCTCATTTGAGGAAGAGGCGGGTCAACTTTTGTAGAAAGCTCCTTATTCAAAGGACCTCTAACTAGGATCTGGATGAAATCCAGAATCAGTTATATAAAAATATTCAGGGTAGAGATAATTCCTGGCATATTTCAGAACAGGTTAAAAGATGCAGAACAGATGGGCTATGTGTGTCAATTGAATAAAAGGTCAATGTGGGAGAAATGATTTAGAATCTATGAGGTCCCATGAGAAATTTATCTTTCTGTTGTCTCTGCATGAGAGGAAGATATGACCTGGTCACATGTGTTACCTGACCAAAAGGTCCTTCAGTCAGATGAGCACAGGTAACAGTGGATTTTTTCTTTTTTTGCAGAACTGGGGATTGAACTCAGGCCCTTGTGCTTGCCAGGCAGGTGCTTATTCTACTGACCCATCTCCCCAGCCCTTTACAGTGGATTAATGAGACCAATCAGCTTCTATGTGACAAGACTTCTCGGAAAGTTCAAAATTCTAATGTATGTTATGATGTCCTGAAGAAACTAAGGTGAAATTATCCCCCAAACTCTGAAACCCTTTTCCAAGGGGCTATTAGCACTACTGCCTTCCAGAAAACCTTTTGTGGAGTGAGGCATTATTGGGTTTCCAGCACATCTGTCTGTACACTTCTTGAAGGCTTGCAAACAGGAAGAAGAGGAGGCAGGAGATAACATGTGATGTGTGTCAGGCATCAGCCACTGGATTCGATCTACATCACATTATGTGCAAGCGCACAATAACTTCTTGGGGTAGTGATGTTATTCTCCTTCAGACTATGAGTTTAAAATGGCTTGCCCAGGGCACTCCGCCTGGACACAATCTGGATGGAGATCTGCCAGTGTGTTCCCTAACTCCCTGCTCCTTCTTTTTCTATCCTGTTGGTTGAAAAAGGTTGTGTGAACACAATGTCCAAAACTGATAAACATTACCCCAGCTGGTCCTCCCACACAACCACCCTGCAACAACCCTGACATTTCTGCAACACCAAAATAAAAACAAGAACAACAAGAAAAAAAGGAAAGACTTTGATCTTTTCTTTTAATTTTTAATGGGGGAAGAAGTGATGGATGTTTAAGAAGAATAATAAAAGAAGGAGACAATAAAGCACTCTTGAAGGAAGGTGACTGATTGGATGCATAGGGGAAGAGACAGAGATAATTGTATGCATCAAATTCTCATACTGAGCAAGGGTGGAGACCCAGTGCAGAGCCGGAAAACATACTTCAGTCACTTTCTTTCACGTATTTATTTACAGATGCAAGTTCTATAGAGAGCCTTAGGCTATTAACCAATCCCTCAGCTGTTGTCCCCACTGCTACACGACGTGGACACCAACTATGCCTAGCAGAGAACTCACTGGGCAGTGCTAGAACAAAGAGAAAACTAGAGTGAAAGAGCTGACCGAAGGCTCTTCTAGTCTTGTCCTGTGGCTCATGGTTTAACTCCTGTGGCCTGCTGCAATTATGCTGTTGCAAAATGAAGCTAAGGCCGGGCAGGCAGTTTATAAGTCATCCTCGGGTGCTTAGAGGGAGGCAAGTGAAAAGACAGCATGTCCACCACTGGAAAATAAAACTTCCCTGGAGGTCAGGTTTGCAGGGTCATTTGAGAACTGAGACTGAGAAAGAGCTGGTGTAAGAGGACCTCAGCTTTTCAGGGAAAAAAATGAGGCTCCTAGAGCACCTGACTCTAGCCTGCTCTTTGTGGATTTCTAAACACTATATTGTGGTAGGTATCCAAGGTTTTGAAGAGTAGGCGACGAAGACTCAGTGGACGGCAACATTCAGGTAGACAATGTGACCAGGCGAGCTGAAAGGGAAGGAAAGCGGGGGTGGGAGGGGCATGTGTAGAAGCAACAGCACTGCTCCTGACCAAGGAGGTCTTGTAGGTCAGTTGCTTTCAAGGCTTTTGATTTCATTAAAGAATTTCATGAGGAATTCTGGTCCTTAATTGTAATTCTCTTGATATTTAAATGTTGGCAGTTAGTTAAAGAAGAGAATAGGTGAAAAAGAATTTTTTTTTTTTTTTTTTTTGACAACAGACTTGAAACCCCTGGTGAAGAGGACTGAGAATCAGATTCAAAGGCTGGACCTCCTGGGTGACTGTGGATCTCACTTTCTTTGCCTGGTCCCTGAGTTTCTTTTCAAGTGAGGATGAAGAACTGGGAATCTTTCAGAGTTTCAACTTTTAGGTGTCACAGTTTTATGAAGACAAACAACAGAGTTGTGCATTTGTTAAAAGCTCTTTGGAATAGAAGAAA